GGAAACAGTCTGCCACAGTCATGTTTCTCTTGAGTGTATGGCGAATATGACGACAAAAAAAAAAATTAATAAAAAAAACCTGCAGTGTAAGAACAACAGCCCCCGTCCCCCTGTTCATCCCTCTCCTCTGCCGCAGCGTAGCTGTGGTGGGTCCACTTGTATATATATATTTATATATTAAAAGACTTTTTATTTTTTTTTATTAAATGGTGGACTACGTTGGATTACTGACCTTCCCATTTTTGATCTGGTACCCACATTTGAACACTTGCCTTGTACGAAGAACCTTTGGTTGAGAGCCAGGATGGAGCAGGCCCTGTGAGTGAAGCGCGCCCTATATTCCTACTACTTATTTCCCACCCCGACCTTTCAGAACAAAATATTTCCCGAGGGAAAGTGCCCCCTATGGTGTATCTGGTCCCTTACCCGACTACCTGCAAGCCCACTAGTAGCTCACCCAATGAGAAACCCTCTATGAATCTTCAACCCTTGTCGGGCCTACTGAAGAAAGGCAAGGCCTATCTCGAGATGTGCCCATAAGTTTCTGCTGACGGCTGGAGATTACTGAACCATCTTGAGTTTCCCACGGTTCTTTCCTCAGAGCTATAGTTGCCACTAAGCCTGGGCAGGAGGTCTTTGGCCCTACCAGTACCAATCTTTGTTGGTAACGTGGCATCGTCGCTTCGCACCTTGTGTTCGCCTCTCGGAGTGTGTGTTGGGAGGTTCCTCGTGGGGCATCTTGGATCCCTTTGAGCATCTTCGCATGGCGCCCGGAGCGGTAAAATTCGCAACCCGTTGTCTCCTATTCTGCCCTCCCAATTGATGAAATAACCCTCTTCCCCGTTTTTCTCCCCCCCACCCCTACTCTTTTTGTCTACGGAGTTTGAGCTGTGCCCGATGGAAGCTCCTGTCCCTTTCGGTATGTTATGTGGGAGGTTTTGTTCTCTGAAGATCCAGCATGGTGGAGGCTGGTGAAAAGTACTTAAGGGTGCATTCCATCACCCTCTTAACATGCATCGGCACATTGGGGCCGCTCGACTGAATTGGGACCTTCTCTCCTTCCCAACTCGATTACCTTGTCTGAATGCTTCTTCGCGATTGATGCTATGAATGTGATTGCTTATACCCTGAGGTGGCCCTGTTTGTCCCGTTGATCCTCTTCGGTACGCATGTTGTTATTGATGCGTGTTGTAGGCCCTTCTGTATTCATCATCATTGGATTTGTAACGGCGGAAGCTCGTCAAGATGGATCTGCTGATCGGTGTCCACATGGTGCTCATCTCAGTGTTGATGTTCGTGGGATTCCTCGCCTTCATTTTTGGACTACCGATCTGATCGATGCAGTGCATCAGCGACTGTCTGAATTTGACTGCTGTTTCCCCGTCTGCCAGATGGTGCAGAGCATATCACGTGCATTAAAAACATGGTTGCAATTCATTCTGTGGCTTCACCGCGTGGAATGTCTTCTGCTGACAAGCGGTTTGGGATGTTTCGGACTGTCAGGAGCTAGGACCTGCGTTCGTAATAAAGCGTTCCCCCAGGTTACGAATCATGGCTGTTCCTATCCGCTTTCCGCTGCGAACTTCCTGCCTCCTATGCACCCCCTTCCTCGTTTTCTACTCTTCTATTTTTTCTCCATTAGTCTTTTGCTCTTTGCCATGTGGCCGGCATGCTCCACTCATTTCTCTACTTGCCCGGCGGACCCACCCGCCTTCTCCTCTTCCCGCATCTTCAGTGTGATTGCCTCATCCTATTGGCTCTCTCTCCATGGATCCTTACGCGAGGTATGACGGGTAGCTTTGAATTCGCTCCCACTCGTGGTTACGACGATTGGATGCTGATGTGATAGTCCCTTGTGTTGCTTTTGCCAGTTGGGTGCTGTTTTTATGTGTTGGCGTAGTATGACTAGTTACTCTGTGCTTGGCGCTGAACGATTAGGGAATGGTGGAGTGATGGTTCGTATCCACGGGAAGTATTGGAGTTAGCGGGAAGGATCGAGGTAATCGTTGCTTGAGTTGGACCAGATAGGGAATTGGTGTTGCGCCTCTGGTTTTATTACGGACCATCCGGCTTTACTTGTTGATATGTGTACTGCTTTAAGATTCTGACATCAGTTCAGAATTCCTTAGGTATGCGTGTATGTCGATGGTGCACGGCTATTTGCTAATGAAGTTCTTCTCGTTGATTTTGGTGGTCTAATGGCCGTGCTATGTGCCATGATAACCGAACGGCTCCTATTCACTGGCTGAGGCGTGTATCTCTGCACTTCATCAGCTTGGTATTTGGATTCTGTCATAGATGAACGGGCTAATGACCTGTCACGTGACGACATTCTTCTGGGGAAGAGTACTTTTGATGCCTTGGATTATGCCGACGTGAATTTGGTACCATTTGTATTAGGAATGATAGTATATTGTGTAAAGGTCGGTAATATCCTGGTTTGTTTGCTGTTTTCGTAACCTGAACACCTGTGCATGTTGGATGAGGAATGGTGGTGAAACCTTGGTATTGTCTTTATCCTTCGACCATCATCTTGCGTTGCATGAACCCCAAGGATATGGTGTGACTCCTTCCATGCTGTGACACGGTCACAGAAGCCACGCAATAAAAATGTAACACGAACGCGCTTCCTTCCTTTCTTTGGTTTTTTTTTTTGTTGTTGTTGTTTTTCATTTGTCAGAAAAACGTATGTGTGTAGTTTTTCATTTGCTTCTGTTTTTCACACAGTGAGGACCCGAACCTGAAACGACCGGCCTCCTGAATGAGGCACTACCGGGCGTCCGCCTCCCCCGACCCCCAAAAGCTGCCGCGCGTTAACAGCCGCAAGCTTTTTTTTTAGCTGGGCGAGGTACTGTTGGTTTAAGAAAAGAGACAGATTGTAAATGGGAAGAGGATTGTACCTCAGCCTTCAAGAGACTGAAGAAATGCCTAATAGAGTATCCAGTCCTCAAAATAGTTGACCCATCGTTGCCATTTATAGTTATTACCACTGACGCTGGTCAATATGGTATATAGGTCCGTAGACTTCTAGATTGCCTAGTGTGAGAGACAGCCTCGATGTTTGAACGTGAGCTATTTGCTCTTCGAGAAACATCACACTGGCGACACCGCCTGATGGACGACACTTCAAAGTATACTCTGACCATGAAACACTCCACTGGTTGAAAACTTAGGCCTGCATGTTGCCCAAGTTAACAAGGTGGGCAGGTGAGAGATTGACCAATTTGATTTCGAGTTGAAACCAGTAAAAGGGAAGTATAATATTGTTGCCGATGCTTTGAGTAGGCGAGCAGATTTCTTTGGTGCTATAGTTATCTACCTTGATGATGACCCAAATCTGCAAGTAAAGATTAGAATCACTTATGCTGATAATCCAGTATATGGTATGTTGATTGACAAGGTGCGAACAGCACCGCAGGAAGTTCCGAACTATTGGGTGACCCAAGGATTATTATTATTTGGAAAAACTGACGGGCACGACCGACTGCGCATCCCGAACAATGAAGAAAATTGCAGTCTAATTCTGGCGCAATGTCACGACACTGAGCCACATTTCGGTTGGAAAAAGACATACGGCAACCTCCTTTGACCGTATAAGTGGGTTCGAATGAAGCACACGATTGTATAGCCTAGGTCCAGCGCAGCAAGGCATGCCAAAGGAACAAGAGTTTCCTGCAGCCTCCCCTTGACTGTTGAAACCTCTACCTATACATCAAGTTCCCTTACCTACCTATCCATCAGGTGCTGGAGACTCCGTGTCTATAGGCTTCATGAAGACTACAGTCAGAAGTACCACATGGGAAAAGTCAAGTGAATCAGGTCAACATCCAATCCAGCCTAAAAGTAAACAATCTGCCACAAGTAACCAAAAACGTTTTTGATGAATGGGTCTAAAAGTTGAACTTCGTACATATGAAGTGTTAATAAAAGGTAAAGCAAATAGTGAAACAAAGACAAGACCTATTGCAGCAACACCTCCTAATTTATTCGGTATACTACAAAGAATTGCATAAATAGGTAATAAATAGCATTCTGGCACTATGTGAGCTGGATGGTAATCATAGGTAGATTTAGTAAATTTGCTATTTCTGTACAGCTCCCTGCGGAAGTGCGGACTGACTAGGTAATTAGGGAGTTCTTCAATCATTGGGTAAAAGACTACAGACATCCATTGTAACAGCTGGTGAATGTCTACGGGTCTGAACTGACTATGTCATCAGGCAGTCATCCTGAGACAAATGGACAAACTGAGCAGATGAACGGAGTACTCAAATGCTGTGCATGTACATTCGGCCTCCGATCAATTTGACTAAATAGGACGAGCATCTTCCCAAGGTAGCTAGCGCCTAGAACAACTTTGTGGGCCTTGCTACAGCTAGAACGCCTAATGAATTGCAAAGGGGACGGCAGCCCAGTGACCGTCTGAACCCTGACCAAATTCAGAGATTGCCTCCAGGAGCAAGGGAATCTGCTGTACAGTACGAAAAGACTTCGAGCGTGTCAACGAGAACATGAGGAAAGCCCGACAGCAGGCAGATGATTGAGGGAGCCAATAAGCATCGTAGACCTTCGCGGCTCGCTGTAGGCGATCTAGTTTGGGTCAAGTCAAAAGAGTTTCTCCCAGAAGAGAACGTATCGCAGAAGTCGCTACCTAAGCTGCTTCCCTGTGTCAAGGAGATATATGATGATCCCTCCTGATATGGATGCCAAGTATGATGTAGACAGGATAGTTGCTTATCAGGTTTATTAGAGATGATGTTGTGCTGATGAGCGCTTGGTGACTAACTCTGGCTCTGTACAATTGCATCAAAATTTCTCAAAAATGTGTTGTGTGAGGGTGCACCGTCGCAAGGAAACTCGTTGCCATCACATACCCAAGAGGCTTGATTTGAAGAACACACACTCAGATGGCAGCAAAACATTGGAGGGCCAAGCAACAATTTTATTACATTTGAAAATCATTCGTGACAAAAGTAGTGATCAGTTACACAATGAAGTTAGCACTGACAAATTCAGGCCATGCAATAGGATATCACAAAGAACAGAGGGCAGTCACACGGCCGCCACAAAATCACCACGCTAATCCACCGAGTAGAAAGGAAACACAGGGAAACAAAGGGAAGGCACTCACTCTGATATCGTCCCTCCACCTCTCAGAACCCCTTCACTAGCAACCGATTAACATAATACGTATACTACTAGCACGGAAGAAAAGTGTCCTCGCCGGTTGCAGAACCCGATCATCACAACCTGAGCAAGCATGTACCAGCTTATAAAGCAGAACACAATAAAAGACAAGGAACTTGGATCATCACATCATCACCAAAGTTCACACACTTTTTTCCTTACCTGTCAAAGTGGGACCCGGCAAGACATCACTAACCTTTCAAGCTGGGACCCGGTGAGACATTCCTTACCAGCCAAACTACCGGTAGAGGCAAGCGAGACACCCATTTCTTGCTTAGTACCTTGTTCGTCTTATTCTCTTGAATGAAAAATCAAGGGCTATCCCTCCGATTTTAGTGCAAAATACTCGACCCCAGGACTCAATCAACATCCAACGCCACCAAGCCTGTGGTCGCATGCCTCACAGTACATTTCAAGTCTGAAGCAGTTGATACACATGCACACATCCAGAAGCTCGACACCATATGCCTACAGATCAATCCCTGATCGATAAGTGTCAACATCGGTGCTGGCACCTGTCCCTGCTCCCCCCCTGTACAGCAGCGGTAATGCTCCCAGCCTTCAGATAAGTTTACCACAGACTCCAGCCCCATCCCCAAGTCTTCCTGGGAACTCTAATCTCTCTGTGTGCCCATCATCTCGATCAATTGCCAACAGCTCGCAACCCTACCCTCAACGTTCTTCACTCCCCATACTGGCAACATTCTCTCCCTTGCATAATGCCCCCCACCCTGGCTGTGGCCCCTCCCTGCAAAAACCGCGCTACCCTTGCTCATTCTTGGCTGCAGCAGAAGGCTGAGAAATTCCTCGAAGACAACAGAGCAGGAACTGGACTAAGCAACCTCTCTCCCTCTCTTTCCATCCCCTTTCTCCCCAAACAAATACTGCCTTGGGCGTACAAAACGAGTCCTCCGATTGAACCCCGCCACAACTACTCGGGAGGGCCTCTCCTTTGGCGAAACCAAATGAGTCCTCCTCCAAGTGCGGACTCGTAGGCCCAGATTTCAGTGACCTGGACCGCCAGAAACTAATACAGTACCTCGGCTCCCTAGGCTCAACAGGTCATGTCTGCAATCACTCGCAATCCGACATCTGCTGCTGTCACTTTTCTAAGTTTTCATCACCTAGGCATTGAGAGAGAACAACAAATCTAGCACTCAGTGAAACCAACTCCACATGGCATTCGTCCATCTGTTCAACAACCGCCCTTTCATCGTCCATCCATCTGTTCGACAACCGTCACCCTTTCTCTGTATGTCCGCCTGTTGGACATCCGTCACGCACGCTTTCTCCTTGCGGAAGAAAGTCGGGAAACGATTGGAAATAAAAATAAACCCACACCCCTCTAGTGGTTATTAAGTTATCTAAACTCGTCACACACTTGTTCAAAGCCCATAATTAGCCGATCAATAGAAATGACTGAAGTCGTTCAAGGAGAGAGAGGAGAGCAAAGGAGAAATGACATCTACACCTGACAGATGTTCGCAGACATGTCGCACGGGAGCAATGAATGAAATAGAGATCATCAGACACAATGCCGCTGCTATGAACAACAGAACACTTCGACATCCTCTCTGTGAGCCCTTACCTGGTGCCCTTTGCAATCCCTATGGCTATAAATAACTTTGCATGACAATGCGGCAGGCTGTCGGAGTGGAAAGATGGGATGCCCAATGGGGAGCTGAACGGACCATCGCACGACTCGTTGGCGGAAAATGGAACAGGTCAAACAAAGGATGCACGTAGTCGAGAACAAAACCGTCATCAGCGCGTGAAAGAAATCTCATGGAAGAAGAAGAAAAAGAAAAAAGCAGCAAAGTTGTGGAAATCCCTCCATGTAGATTCTCCAGCCTACAAGGATGCCTTTCTACTGTGTTTCTGCTCTACACGCCCGTTCTGTTCCCCCTCCTTTCTCCCTCCTTTTCTCTAAAGTTGTTGAAATCCCTCCGTGTAGGTTCTCCAGCCTACAGCGATGTCTTTCTACTGTGTTTCTGCTCTATGCGCCCGTTCTATTCCCCCTCCTTTCTCCCTCTTCCCCCTCCTCCCCCCCCCCCCCCCCTCCCCCCCCCCCCCCCCCCCCCCCCCCCCCCCCCCCCCCCCCCCCCCCCCCCCCCCCCCGTCTCTCCCTCCCTCCCCACTTCTATTCCAAATTTGCTTTCCTTCTTCCATTACATTCAGAGTGAAGCCGTACTACCACCTCCGTGAATGCAAGTGACCGGAATTATGGTCATACCTGGATGTATCTGACCACAATCATGTCCATAAATAGGTGAAAAAGTTCTAGTGTGAGTATGCCCTCATACGTTGTCATTTCTTCCGTATCTGCTAGGTAGAAGATCGAGACCAGTCTGGAAGACTTAACAGTACCTAATTGCCACTACAACAGTACACAGTCAGTAAAGCCAGAGAAAGACGACTGTGGGTACCTACCTCTACTGCCCCCAAGAGTACAAAAGATTGAGCGAGCCTATCTGTTTCTCACCTGCTGCTGCTGATTTCGCATACCAGCCGACCTTTTCCAATCTGACTGAAAACACACCCACAGAAGGGTAAACAAACCCACCAACCATCCATCAGCTGGGATGGGGAAGAGGACACTGTGACCACTAACAGTCGCCAAAGAAAACAGATCAGCGACGACAAGTCTCTTCATCTCTCTTCATACATACGGAGGCCATGTTCCTCCTTCGTGCATGCCGCGGCCAACAGATGTGAGACTTTTTCAACCAGCAAGTTCAAAAGATTGATGCGAGGATTATTTCTTTCATGAGGGTAGGAGGTGTAAGATGTTCACACATAGTCGTCCTCATGCCAGAAGAAGTAGGAATAAATTATATACCCCAGGCAGCTGGGAGCCTCAGGAAAGAGGGGGGTAGGGTGTGCATGATTTGATCATGTAACTTCACTGGTCATCAAGCGAACGCAGCTTGCTTCGCCCTGAAATGATGATTCAAGACAAAGCCACCGCAGTAACCAAGAACCAGTCCACGACTGCCAACCCAGCCAACCAACCGACCAATCAATCAATCAATCTATAAGCCAATAAATAACCAATCTCCTAATGAATCAGTCATAAGTTGACCCATTTGAACGGATCAAGCGCCTCGCCATTTCTTCTCACTGCAAAAGATAGGAAGACACAGCACGAAAATCCGCACACGACAAACAACAACACTCCGCTTCAGTCAATCGACCCTTTTTCTCAAGGGGGATGATGGGGATCATTTCTCAATTTATGCATCTCATGCTTGTGCAGGGGCCATGCTAATATTCTCTCTCTCTCTCTCTCTCTCTCTCTCTCTCTCTCTCTCTCTCTCTCTCTCTCTCTCTCTCTCTCTCTCTCTCACCCACTCTCTCTCTCTCTCTCTCTCTCTCTCTCTCTCTCTCTCTCTCTCTCTCTCTCTCATGGGGCCATGCTAATATTCTCTCTCTCTCTCTCTCTCCCTCTCCCTCTCTCTCCTTCTCTCTCTCTCTCTCTCACACACACACACACACATGTCCACAGAAAACGAATACCAAAGAAAACCAAAAAAGGTTTGATTTCGCCCCTTTAAACCGCATGTACACAGCCACAGCCTTGCTGCAAAGAAAACTCGTCGCCTACGAAATTTTCGGAGGCCCAGCCCCATAGATAAGTCAAACCGGCGGCGGGCAGCCTCCGAAAAGGGCCCGCGACCGGTATCTGGATGTACTGGTGGTTTTACGCCCCACCGCCCCCTACTGACTTCTCCCTCTCCCCATCTCTCTCTCTCTCTCACACGCACACACACACACGCACAGAAAAAAAGAAAAAAGAAAAAA